AAAAAAACTCATGAAATACAAATGCCTATTGCAAGGAACAACCTCATTTTTATAATGATAATAAGATATGATTACTTTGTCATATTATTAAAATTATTTTCTTTTGTAACAAGTTGGATTATTGTAAACTTAGACCATTTTTTATTTATAAATAAATAAATCTAATTGCTTATTGGTTACATTTATTAGTGTAATATTATGTGTTATCTTGTTTGAGAGTGCATTAGGTATTTAGTTGTGAAAGATAAAATTGTGCTTTATAAGTATTCAAAAAATCCTAATAAGTTTCATCCAAATAAGGAGAATATTATTTGAATTTTAATTCAAAAGTACTTGAAGTTAATACAAAGTACTCAAAAATATCCTTCTAAGTAACCTCAATCCTATACAAATTCCAATTGCCTTATTACTTTCATAATTAGGTAATTTTGATTTCTCTTTGCAAGTCCTAATCATAGTCAGTGAGCTTCAATAAGCTGTAACTTCTAATTTGACTATTTATTTCATACAAAAATTTTCATATAAATGCCACTATAAGTCTTTTACATGCTTAAAAAAATTAATTCTAATTCAACTCACAGATTGTGAAAAAATGTCCAAAAACCACACTAATATCACTCAGCTACTAATTCAAAAGTTGATGAACATGTTCCAATAGCAATTTTTCCTGCTTCAACCATTAACTTTAAGTCAAAATTAGTATGTAGCTTGATCTTTAAGTTTTCTAGTACCATGCCAAATTTCACCTATTTTAACTCATAGATCTTTAGATATCATAAAAATCCTATTTAATTCCAAACCGATAACTTCTAATATCTTCTTGTATCAAAAACCAAATATTTCTTAACCACACTATTAGATTAATACAAAATTTTATTTACATTTAACACATTTAACACATTTAATCAATCGAGCATTATCAAATTTTAAATTATAGATATAGTACCATTTGTATGATCTAGCCAAAAGTACTAGTCCTAATTGTATTATATAAATTTATAGTCATCAATACAAACCCTAATTTTGAACAACAATTTCAAAGTCATTACAAATTCTATAAAAATAAAACTTATACTTTTGAAATAAGCTTAAATCTCTCTAATCTTGGTTGCTAATCTCCAAAATTTTCCATAATTTTTCCTAAGTAGCCGTTTTAGTAGCTAGAGGTTTAATTTTAATCTTGTCCTACAAATGATCGATTCTTAAGTATTAATCCAACTTATTTTAGGAATTTTTTAGCCTAATTCTATCCTCAATTTAATCTTAGTTTCAACCATATTAATTATTATTATTATTATTATTATTAATTATCAATTTATAGCCTTTTTAAGATAGTAAAAAAAAATACAACCTAAAAGGTAAAATTACTAACCAACCTTTAATCTACTAGCTATTAAGACAAGAAAATAAATTGAGAGGCTTTTATAAAAGCCATGTATAAATATCATAAATTATCATTAAATTAAGATCATCAGATAATTATTTTTTATTATATTTTTATCATATATTCATATTATAATACGACATTGGAGTCTATAAAAATCCATCCCGTATTTCACGTGTTTTTTTTGGAGCCATATAAGATAGTGAGTATTTCAAAAAGAAGATAAATACCATTGTCTATTATAGAAGTAGATAATAATCAAGAATTTGAAGTAGAAGAAGTCTCAGACTTGAGGTGGCACTCACTTAAGTTAAAATATCTTATTCATTGGTTTGAATAATATATTATTGAATACATATAGGAGCTAACAAAAAATCTTACAAATGCAGCAAAGAAGGTCAAAGCTTTTCATCGATGACATCTATCGAAACCAAGATGAAGGATAATAAATCTTTGCTATAAAAGATATATAATTTATAAAAGATTATATTTTACCTTCTATCTTTGTTTTTAATTTTAGTATAATTGTAACATTAAAGAGATGGAGAATCAATAGCTATTAGATTCAACTCAAGAGCTATCATTTATTAATTTATCAAATAAAACATTACAATTATCACAATCTTAAAGATAAAATAGGAATGAAGACCTTCAAAAATGACATATTTTTCTTCAAATAAATGACAAGATATAATGCATTTGGTATCACGACCTAAGAAAAAAGTCTCAATATTTGGTGATTTTATTAGAAGTAGGAACAATTCTTGATGGTATTACAAATATTTTGTTTGAAAGAAGTTATAAAGATCTCAATAATGATCAAATAACATGGTAGTCTTCTCACCTTCAAATGAGACATTACCAATGATTGAGAAGATTTAACAATTATCTTTAAAGAGAATAAAGATTAGAGTACATATCAAATACAACTTACTACATCTTGGACTTCTTCAATATATAATCATCACTCCTTGTGGAACTTGTCCCTAGAAGGAAGAATAATGTCATACACATATATTTATTATAATTATTACCTAAATATTATGAATAGATAGAAATAAGTATAATTAGATTAATTTCATAATATCTTTTAGAAAAGCTTCTTAAAAGCTTTATAGATGTTGCTTTGACTTTACATATGTTTGTATATTAGAAACTTGGTCTAAAAATTAACCATGTGTAACAAATGTTGGTAGCTTACAAAATAAGCTAACTATATGGCACACATATAAAAAACTTGCCTTATAAGTTAAGATACATGTTATGCAAAGTCAATATATTTTGGAGGTCCTATAGAATAGCACCATGTAGCTCTTAAGTAGATAATATATATAAAGGTAAGAATGAAGCTTTCTTCATTCTTGTTAATTCTTTTCTTATTTCTAGTATGATTTCAAGAATTTATAGTTTTCTTGTCCTTTGGAAATAAACATTCCGATTTTTTTTTTAATATACATACTTATTTATATTTAATTTGTCATATTTCTTTAAGAAAGTTTCATTTATTTATTTGCTTTCATCGAGTTCTTGTTCTTGATACAAGATAGTCTTTTCACCTTAGAATGGAATATTATCAATGGTTGAGAGGATCTATCAACCACCTTAAAAAAGGAACAACAATCAAAGTATGTGATAAATACAATTCATAGGATCTTGGACTTTTTCAACATATAATGATTGTTTCTTGTAAAACTTGTCCTTAGAAAGAAAGATAATATCACAGACATACATATTCAATTAGATAAGAAATATTAGATAGAAAATAAATATAGATAGATTTAATATTATCTTGTGGCATAGCTTTTTAGAAGCTTAATAGATATATATTTGATTTTATACATGTTCATAGCTGATCGGTAGGTTAGAAACTTAGCTAACAAGTTAGTCATATGTTGCGTGTGTGGATAGTTTTAGTACAAGCTTACAATGTGGTGCACATATAAAAAACTAATCTTACAAGTTAAGACATATGTCTTGAAAATTGAACATGTGTTGGAAATCTTATAAGATGTTGCTACATAGCTCCTAATTGAATAGTATATATGAAAACAAAGATGAAGCATTCTTCATTCTTGTCGTTGCCTTTCCAATCCTTAGTCTTCTTTTAAGACTTTTTAATCTTCTTATCTTTGGCACTAGCCACTTTAGTTCAATATATTACCATCTTTGAATAGTTGTCTAGTCTTTTTGAGTGACATAAGAGTGTATTGAGATTTTTTTTCTTTGAAATTCATGTCTTTGACATTATGATGAAACAAAACAACACTTCTTCAAAATCAGTAGTAGCAAGAGATCAGCTCCATTAGAAATCAAAACTAATAGTAGTAATTTGATGTTTTATCTTTTTGAGTGATATAATTATCTTTTACATAAGTTTTTCATCTAAAAAGTCATCTAAATTTTCCATTCAATAATTTTCATCCATAAATTTAATACTATGTTATAAAATGAACATTTATTCATATTGCAAACACAAATGAGCCAAAACAAGGGAAAGATATTTCTATGTAGAACTTCCCTAATTTGCTGCACAAGTCCCAATTTATAGTATAAACCATAAGGTACTATTTGACAATTAAGCCACACCTCTTCAAATAAGCAAAATTTTGATATTGATAAATAAGATCATTTGTCAAACCAATATAGGAGCTATGTGTAAAGAATTATACCTCCTAATTTGTTTGGGAAAATAGAATAATCATTTTACTATGAACAAGTTTCTATGCCACATGACAAGAGCAAACAAATTATCAAATAGCAAGACAAATGGGAAATTCAACATTGCCTACCTCGGTTGCCATTAAAGGTTGAGTTTTGGACTCCAAACCCACATGTTATAGATCCTCTCAAACCTTTTCAAGTGTTCAATGGATTCTCAATTACAAGTAAAATTCTGGTCATTTTGGATCTTTCTGGGATATCATGTCTTGAAATTTTACTGAAAACACATTGAGTTTTGTATTCTCCTTTTTGAAACACTTCTTCTTTGAGAGTTGAATTAGATGATATTGTCAGGGTACAACCAATGGAAATGCATAGTAGATACTGCATTTACCTCACTGCTATTCAGTAGTAATGTCATTCTCTTTATCTGGTACAGCTCAGCACAAAAGTGATTATTCTTCTGTTGCTGCTTTATGCTAAATTTAATGGCAAATTTATGGTGTGGAGCTGCTATGACGAAGAAATAGCGCCAGGATTCAGATGTGTCTTAGACTACTGGATAGGATTTCTTAGATACCAACATAATTACGAAGCTTCAAGAGTATTGTATAGGAAGAGTTATACATATTCAGATATGCAATCTCTACGATCTCGACGACGTCCTGTAAGTATGGAAGAGAGGAAGAATGCTGAACTGGCTGCAGCGGCTCTGAATGCAACAAATCCCAGTGTAGTGGTGGTTTTTAACGAAGTCAAGTGTGTACGCTCACTTCACTGTGGTAAGTCTTAGGTTCTCAACCTTCATCCCTTGTCATCAGTCAGCTGTGCATGCATTTAAGGTGCATTTTAGTGTGCATTACAGTACTATTCTTGTTTGAGGTGTCCTTCAGGTTTATTCACTTATTTATTGCCGATCGTGCGATGATCAACCATGCAGTCGGAGATGGTTGAATTGTAGCTTTTAGTAACTTTGCGAAGCGAAGTACTAAATCAATATTGTAAGTTACAGTGGAGATACTAAGAGCTTTAACTACCAATCAATACATTCCTGACATCCTAATGCTGATAAGAACTAATTCAGTGAAATGCTAAATCTTGAAATCCTATTTTTGCAGTCAATTCCGAGTGCATTTTCCAGGAAAAAGCTTCCGAAAAATCTTGTTCGGGTGACTATGGGATTCTGCAGGCCAGAAAGCATCAGCTCGTTGGGCTGGGAACCGAAAGAAGAGTGCATGCTTGAAAGGATTTAGAGCATTTTTGCAGTCTCATCATTTCGAAGAGGGAGACGCTTTGGTATTTGAGCTTATGGACCCGAACCCGAACAATCCTGTCTTCTTTATACATATTAACAATGTTGTTGAAGTTTAAAGAAACAGTGGTCGCAGACACACCTGTTCAGAATTCTGTTCAAGATGCTTCTCAATCACTGAGTGACCCTGAGGTGAGAAGTAATTCACCTACGACTGTCTCGGATCTGCCACCCACGATGGCACAGGGTGCAGCAGCAAAAATGAAAAATAAAAGCCCTGTTGTGGAACGGCGCCCTGGAACTCATGATATGTTCCAAGGATCTCAGAAAGATATATTTGATATGTCCGTTACTTTGTAAATATGGGGACATATTTCGAACCATATAAGAACGTCTCTTCCTTAGTAACGTCTCAACTCTAGATACAACCATGAAAAGTCCTCATGAAAATGCAACACTGGAGGAGTTAGAGAAGCAGTATCAGGAGGTTGTTAACACAAACAATCCAACATTGCTTCTGATAAAGGCCCACATCTATTTACAAATCTCCCTTACAGCGGACGAGCTGGCGAGTGCCCTCGTATTCAGGAGAAGTTAAAAGCTTCATTGTTGCACAGGAAGGTGTCTTGGAAGACGGTGTCGAGGTCACCTTGACAAAGCCAGAAACGTCTTTTGATCGGGGACGAGGGTGTGTCCAGATTCTTGGTGCTGCTGTTGGGCATGGAGGGACTCAAGAAGTTGCCAGTTTCAATAAAATGGATTTTTTTTTGTGCTGGCGTAGTGCCACTGGCTGCAAGAATGACGATGATTGGCATAGGGAGTTGCAACTAAGTGATACGGAAAGAGTACCTAGTAACCAGGATGCCGAAGACGGTGTCTGAAGTCAGTGTGTTGGCCATAGTTTTGATTCCTATTACAGATGAGTCGACTTTAGTGCTTAGGGTGACGATTAAGGGAGGAGATTTACGGTAGTCAGTAATCAGTTTGAGCTGTCTTGAACTGTTGGAGAGAGAACTTGTACATTGCCACGTAGTTCTTTATATCCTTTGGTCAAGGCGATAAACTTGGACTTGGGTGCTTATTTACAGGCACTGTCCTTCGGCCCTTCCAACTCCGTGCCCGGATGACACCCTCTTCTGCGGTATAGAATCAAAGTATCCTGACCCTAAACTTGCAAGGAATCCTCCACGAGTAAGTGAACTGTACCCCGTAATGTGATCAATTAGGCCTAAATGAATGTTTAATTTTTAGGCCACTTACAAGTGGCTTTCTAATTTATAATGTTGAGCATGCTGAGATGATTCTGGTCTCAGCATGTTGCTTCTCATTTGGTCAGACCAAATCACATTTGAGAACTATCCGCCCACTTATCTTTTATTGCCCTTTTTTCTTCTTCCGATCTTTTTCCTGTTCATTCTGTTTGAAATTCATGTGGTATTCACCAAGGACTTCTTGTACAGCAGTTTCAGTGCCTTGGCATTGCCTCAGGGTCTCTAGTGTGCTGTTATATTCACACTGGCGTGGATCCAACTGACGCACCGATGTACTTGACCAGCGTTGCGCACCGGGAAGATTTGGATGGTTTCATTTTCAAGGATAGAGGAAATCTAGCCACACGCACAAGAATGGTGAAGGGCAAGAATGTCAATCCTCATCAGAGGAATCATTGTATGTAGAGCGTCCGTATTGACCCAAGAAAAAAGGATAGGGCCATTGTCTTTCTGTTCATGACAGAATTGAATCGCGATGGATGTGTTCGATTCGTCCATAGAAATCCAGGCTCTTATCGAGTTTAACAGCTCCTTGATTATCCAGAGAAAGGAGCCTAGGTGAACTTGAGAGATGCCTAGCTCTGCGAAGTGTTGCAAGTGACATCTTCCGATTCCAATTCAGTTGTATTAGTGCTGGTGCAGGAATCAATGGCTGTTCAAATCACTATCAAATTTTTAGTCACACCCTACAAAACAGAAGGGTCATTTGTCAAGTAGTTAAGGTTGTGATACCTTGTTCCATGAAGAAAATATTTGTTGAATAGTAGTTTAGTGGGTGTAAAGTGACTGGTCTTAGAACCTAGTAATGAAGCTAAATGAGTGAGCGATATCTAGCATGGTCAAGGTAGATGCATATATGAGATAGCTTTTTTGTAAGGAACAAAAATGCATGGAGCATCAGCAGCTTCTGTCACAAGTTGAATGTAGGCATCAGCAGAAGTGCAGATACAGCAACACTCCCGCGTTCCAAAATGCTAGAATATCTCCGCAATCCGGCTTCCTTGATGCAAGAAAGTGAACAAAGAAGGCAGAGAGTTACCAGATGAAACGCAATGTATTAATCTGTTTTGTCCCCCACAACTCGATGGCACCTTGGAGGTGGTGAGGGATTGGTGCAAGCTGGAGAGGATTAGTACAACAAAAGAAATAAGAATAATAATAATAATATAAACTATCATGTTTCAAAAAACGTAAGAAATTTGATAGGTTGGGAGCTCAAACTTGGTTGCTAAGATTTATGCCATCTCCAAGGAACCACAAGACTAAAAAAAACGTGCATAAAATCCAGATTGGCAACAATAATTCTGAAACATACTTGTCCCATCAACTATTTCGACGTCGATCCAATGAAATGTAATTTCAAAAAAAAAAACAACTCCTCAATTCCTTCTCTCAGATTCTCCCCTGATCTATTTTCTAGCCAAAATATCCACACCTTCGGCTCAAATTTAGAATCGTCCTTTGTTTCACAACAAAACACGTAAAGCTCCCCTTCCTGAGAAATGCATGGCAAACTGCTGCCTCTCTTCAAAGAAAAAATCACAAGGACGGCCGGTGCACTCCAAGCAGCCGTGGTGACGACGGAGCATTGCCATTCAAGCAAGAGCCTTATTACCCGCACGTCAAGGCGGCAACAAGAGCGAGGTGGGCAAAGGGACGCGTCACATACCTTCCATGATGATAAGTATCTCGAATTTTCAATTCGCAGAGATAGCCTTGAGTTGCCATGTGTGACCAACAGGAAAGGTTTCCAAGTTCTCCTCTCAGCAGATGGTCAATGCGGAATCACCGCTGCGCACACAAGCCGTGACACTAGAGCCAACCTACACAGTCTAAGTCTCTCAGTCAGGAGTACACCCACACAAAACTTGACACTGGGCGCTGAGAGAAAACCCCTCCACATACATAGGAACTGAAAGAGCTCGATGGCTTGCACACACCTCACTCAGCTCCACGCGAAACAGAAGTCCCGCACAAACCTTGTGCAGGAGTCATGTCTTGGTTGGATGATGGGTTTTGGTTTTCACGAAGCTGGGTTTTCAAGTATGATTTCACTTCTGCTTCTTCTTCAACCTCATCATCGTCTTCGTCGCAATCTTCAATCCGTGGCGTGCATTTAAGATGCCGGAGAAAGCAGCAAATAATGCATGAGCGTGAGGAGGATGATAGTGGTGCTGAAGAGTACGAGAAAATTGGTGCATGGAGGCATCAAACTCGGATTGTGTTTGAGATTTTCCACGTACAAGAGGAGAGAAGGCATTAATTCCGGCATCAATCATCATCGAAGCCTGGGCCTGCGCTCTAGGCAAAGTTGTGCTTGCCATTAAGGCCTCTTTCCATGCTGAAAAGGTGGGCAATGTTAGTGCTTCCTGCACCAGCACTAATGTTGGTGCTTCCCTCCCTCTCTAAGAAAAGTGGTTTCTACCAACTACCCCATCATATGGCTGATAGAAGCTGGGCCCAGCAACACCTACCTACTCCATAGTAGCTTTGCTGAGGCTCCACTCCAAGCCCCAGTTCCTTTAGGATAAAGTTGTTTCTATAATATGCTATCAAGCAAATGGTCCATTCTACCAAGGCAAATGATTGAGACACAGTGGAACTTGTACTGAGACCAAGACAGCCCAGTAGGCCGTTGGACCTACTGTTGGCAACACCTAAGACCATACTTTAAGTCATTGCTTGCGATCACCCATGCTTGATTGTGAGCATTGGTCTCTTGAGGATGCATGGTTTCTTAATGTTTCTTCAATACTTGGTTGGATGTAAAGATAGTAAAATCCATGAAATGGCTAAATATTTGAAATTTTGATTGTATTGACTATTTAACTAATATCAACTTCTTTGTATAGATTTATGTATGTGTGTACATGTACATATACACAAACAAACATATACACTTAAAAATTGAATAAATTAAATCCAAATTTTAACAAATATTTATTATATAGGTCATAATTGAAATGAATATCAAAAGAAATAAAAAAGCCTTTCTATCGGTATATGCACATTAAGTATTCAATATTTAAAATACTTAATGACCTATTTTGATTGTATTTCTACATGCACATTAAGTATTTTTTTTTAAATGATCCTTGTTGTTGATGAACTTAATTAGGCAAAATAAGTGAAGCCAATAGAAAATTTTCTAAATTTTCTTAGCATTATGAAAGTAGTTGTATATTTTTGTAGAATCAAATATATATATATATATATATATATATATATAAAGATATTTATTTATAATATTTTAAGATCTATTTGAGCTAATTTAGAAGGTATGTAAGTAAGAAAAGTAATCATTAATATTACTAAGATAAACTACAAGAAATGAGTAGAGACAATGACAAATTTGGTGAATTTGTTAGATATTCAAAGACAAGATTGTGAATTTTTGAATAATTGGGAGTATAGAATTACAATAAATAATATTTAAAATAAACAAGTTTTTTTTGAGATATTCTTTAAGTATTAGAAAAGATAAACTATTAAAAGAAGTGAATATTATAATTATAGATTTTAGATTTTTCAAATTAAATCTAAATTTTTTAAAAAATGATTAATTATTCTATATAAAAAAATAAATTATAAAATAAAAAGTAAAAATATTTTATTTTTTTATTTACTTTTTCATTATACTTAGATGATATTCTCCATGGTATATTGTTTATATTACTAAAGAAGCGTAAAGGTTTTTTTTCATGATCTATGAGAGAAGCATATTGATTTTTTCAACAATATTATATCTATCATTAAATTTTTTTGTATTATTTTTAATACTATGAAATATTATTTTATATACATATATTTTATATATTTTTGAATGAATATTTTTAAATAAATAAATATATATATATAGTCTTTATTTTATTTGACATATTATTTCATATATAAGCTTTAAAGAATATTTTATTTAAAAATAATTCATTATAAATTGTTAAAAAAATATTTAAATATATTATTAATTCCTATTAGATATTGTGTAGATAATTGATAATTAGCCATATATTATGAATATTAATTAACAAACCATTGATTCTCTATTAAAAGTATCATAGCCTACTAAGCTATCATATGGCTTAACAAATCAAATATCCACATGCCAATATTTGGATTAAGTTTTAGTATATTTAAACTAAAAAGTCTTTATTATTAGATCATAGATTTATTCTATATAGAACTCAAGAGAAATATCTATTTTAAGAAATTAATTTTTTAAAATCCTCTGTGATTAGGCAATAAATTTATTTGAACTTGTTTTATCAAATTTCTATTTTACTAATATTCTTTGTAATAATTTATTACATGGTTACAAAGCATGGTACTCTTGAGTTGTTTTTTGAAAGTTCAATGTATGTATGAAATTGTTATATAAAATATGGTCTTTTTATCACCTTTAAAAAAAAAAAATTGTGAATTTAGCCTTTTGAGGAGTTGAATCTCTTATGGGCTTAACTTAAGTAATTTCTTTTCTTTTGATATTTCTTATTAGCAGCAACATTAGAAATTAAGAAGAATAACAAGAGGACCTTCAAGCTTTAAGAAACTATATCTATAATTCTTACTCTACTTGCAACCTACCTATAATTAGCATAAGACTATAATGCTATTAAAAATGCTTTGTTGGAATATATTGCTAGAAATATGTTGTCAAATTGGTATCATAGATATATATATTCATATTGAAAAAAGAGATGTTAGAAACTACAACATTTAGCATCAGCAAGGTTGCACAAAAAGTGTAGCATGGAGTAAGATAACTTTCACTTCCAACACTCTTTTTTTATAGTTAGAGTTTACATTGATTGTAGATGAACTTCATCAACAATTATTTTTATCTTTCTTTTCTACATCCAACTAAATACCAGATTCTTCTTAACCTAGCGGCCATCTAAAATCTTTTGATAATCTTTTTGGTATATTAGCCTACATACCTTAGTACCTTCACAATATCCTAAGAAAATACACTTTGTGCCTTTTTTTATCAAGTTTGGACCTCATACAATCTAATGTCTTTGTATATGCAATATATTGAAAGGTCTTTGTGTATAAAATACAAGGTTGTCTTCTACTCCAAGCTTCTTATGGTGTCATTGATGCAAGAGCATTTATTGAACATCTATTCCTTGTATATACTATATTCACTATAGCTTTTTTCCAGAACTCATAACCAAGATTTTGAGCATGAAATATACTTCTTGCCATCTCTACAATAGTATCATTTATCCTTTCAGCAACATCATTTTATTGTAGAGTATATGGATTTGTTGTTTGTCTAAAAATTCCTTCATTCTTCAAATAAACATCAAATTGCTTAAACATATGCTCACTTCTATTGTCTGTATATAACATCTTAATCTTGCACTCACTTTGTTTCTCAATAAATACTTTAAACTCCTTAAATTTCTAAAAGCATTCACTCTTTACTTTAAGTATGTAAATCCAAATCTTTTTTGAAAAATCATCAATGAAAATGAGAAAATACCTTGCTCTTTTAATACTTGTGTTCTTCATAGTTCCACATATATCAAAATGGACAATTCTCAATGACTTTGTAGTATGTGTTGTTACACCACTTAGAAATGAGGCCCTTTATTATTTGCCTTATATGCATCCTTTATATGTAAGTTGTATTGTATTTTGGCTTTTTTGCTAAGGTCTAAGTTACTTACCATAGACTTAAGCTCTGTCATACTCTTCACATTCAAATTAAAAAAATAATGATGCCATATATTAAACTTGTCTTAGTTTGATGTAAATTCAAGAAATACAGCTACTTCCACTTTGTTGACCTTCTTATATTTAAGATAGTATAAATTTCCCTCAAGAGCCTTTAGCAACCATATTTCTACACAATATTTTAAAAAAACATCCATTCATGTTGAATTGAACCATAAAACCTTTTATTATAAGTTTACTTACTGAAAATAGGTTTTGCTTCTTCTAAGATATATAGAAGACGTTTTTAAATTTAATCCTATTAATTTATCCATTCACAACTACCTCTACTATAATAAATCAATTCCAATAGCTTTACATCTGCCACTATATGCCAAAATCACATTTGATGCTGATATAGCATCATAAATATCAAATAAATACTTATAAGATGTCATATACTTGGAACAACCTAAATCTACAATTTATCTTCATATGGAAGCCATAAAAGTCTTGTTTGTTGCTATGAATGCATAATCTTATCTTCCAAATCCATCTTGCATACTATTTGCATTCTCATTTTCTATCTTTTTGCTTTGGTAGTAATTTCAAGCAGAATGTCCTACTTTACCACAAATGAAGGAAGTTTTGATATTACCTCATTGGTTTCAATAGTTGCCTTTGCCTTGTCATGAGTAGAGTATTGAATCTTCACTTTGAGGCTCTTTTTCTTTCTCCTTGGTTATTTTATGGCTAAATCTTGTTGTCACATAGTCCATTGTGAGTTCTTTCATCTTGATGGATTTCAAAGCCACAATGAGATAGTTGTAGGATTTCGACAAGCTCATGAATAGAGTTATGACAATATTTGTCTTTTCTAAGGGCTTGTCAACAATTGCGAGTTGATTTGCAAGTACCTTCACTTTGTTGATGTTTGCCATGAGGTCTTTACCTTCTTCCATTTAACATATGAAGAACTTCTTCTTTATATAAATGATGTTGAATAAATTCTTGTTATTATAAATATTACAGTCTTCTATGCTTCTATTGGTCTTTTGTAAGAGATAATGTGGGAGAAGTTGACTTCATCAATATTATATGCATTCAATTCAAAGGCCTTCTTTTCATGATGTTTGAAGTCCTTCTTCTCTTTTGTATCAGCATACATGCTTGGAGGCTCTTCACTTTCATCTATAATATCTCATAAGTCCAAAGAAGCCAACAAAAGCTCCATTTAGACCTTCCAATGGTAGAAATTTTCACCTCTAAATTTTTTAATTATTCTCAAGCCTTCATTCTTATTTAAAGCCATATCTAAAGGAGAGATGTATCTAAAAAGATCAAGAGAAATAGTCCTAAAGCTCTCAAAATTAGTAAGAAGGTATTTCTGCCTTAAAATCTCAAAATGCCTTTTTTGTGAATAAACTAGTGTTTTCACTCTCAAACACTCTCAACTTCACTTCTAGAACTTTCTACAAGTTCAATGAATTATTGAAGCATCTCAAACCAGATTTGCAACTCTTATATCACTTTTATGCTCACAATTTGTTTTCTAAGTAACATAAAAGGTTCTTTAAGTACCTTAACTTTCTTCAACACATTAAACTACAAAGTTAGTCCTTCAAAGATCTAATTTAGTAAGAAAATACATTATAAGTTTTCTATAATATTATCTTAAGATATAAAGTATATCCCAAGTTTAAAATACTCTTAATAAGAAGTAAGAGCGAATCAAGATCTACATCTAGATTTGAATTTGAAAGTTAGGAGATTCTAAATCCTAATACCAGTAAAAACAACATGATCTACTCCATACAACAATAAAGACTTCATATAACTTCAAAAATCACAAGAAAATGTGAGTAGATCCATAAGCTATTGAAGAAAGAGAAGTTAGAAGTTACAAAATATACTATCAGCAAGGTTCCTTATATAGTGAAGTATAGAGTAAGATAACTCTCACTTCAAACTCTCTTTAGTTATAGCTAGAATTTACATTAATTATAGATGAACTTCATCTATAATTTTTTTTACCTTTCTTTTCTATATCTAACTAAATCTTAGATTCTTTTTAACCTAACTGCTACTATAATAATATCTTTTAATTTTTTATTATCTTTTGGCTATTA